CCCAGGAAATAAGAAATAAATAAAATAAGGAATGTAGCATCTCCTCGTATCTCTTGCGGATCGGGTTTTGGAACCTGGTCCTCTTGATCTGAAATGGTTAAATAAGAGATGAGCTACACTAGCCCAGTAAGCATATCACACTATATTACTGACAAAAAATTAAATATTAGTATAAAATAAAAAAAACACTAATAGAGCACTAAATTTAGCAAACTCATTTATTAATCATAAAAATCATTTATCGTTCATTTAACATAATGGAATTTATAAAAACAATCTATACAGACAATAATATTATACAGATAATTATTTCATGTATAATAAGCAATTATAGCACATATTATAAATCTATATCCATAATCAATAAATCAAACAATAAATGTCACTCTTTTTAATAGCCTGCTGGTATCCATAAGAGTTTATAGGGATGTCATCGCTTCACATGAACCATTTCATTTAACATTCTTAATTACGGGCCGTCCCCATACCCCGTACCGGTATGAGTGCCAATTTACCAAACCTTAATACCTCGTCCGGTATGAGGGTGAAGCGGGCCATTCCCATACCCCATCCGGTATGAGGGTGAAGCGGGCCATTCCCATACCCCATCCGGTATGAGCGCCAAATTATCAAGTCTTCATTTGTTGTGCATCTATAGAAACTAACAATCATGTAGTCCAGTTTCTTTTCTCGTGGCCTATAAGCCCTACCCTCAACTGGACATCCCTAAATGTGCAAATGTCTTTGTAGTTGCTTTTGTTGGAACTCTGTTGAGTAAATATGTTGCAGTCTTTAATGCTTCTTTCCAGAGTAATTCAGATAAGATAAAATGACTAATCATACTCCTCACCATATTCTTAAGTGTTCTGTTTCGCCTTTTAGTAATACCATTCATACTAGGAGAACCTGACATGGTGTACTATAGGATGATACCGCATTCCTCTAAGAATCGAGCAAACGGTCTTGAATGTTGTTCACCTGATCCGTTAGATCTACCATAGTATTTACCACCACAGTTAGATCTAACTACCTTAATCCTTTTGTTGAGTTGGTTATCAACTTCTGCTTTAAAACTCCTGAACACATCCAGGGACTGAGACTTCTCATAAATGAGATATAGGTAGCCATATCTTGAATAATCATTTATGAACGTTATGAAATATAGTTGACCATTCTAAGAAGTTATAGGGGACGGTCCACAAATATTTATATGAATGAGTTATAATACGTCCATAGCTCTGTTGGCACCTAATATCTTAATATTTATCTATTTTCGCTTGATACAATGGACATATCTATCAAAATCTGTAAAATCAAGGGGATTTAGAATTTCATCTGACACAAGTCTCTCAATTCTTCTTTGGGAGATGTGATCTAATCTCTTGTGCCATAATGAAACAGAATTTTTCTTGGTTAATTTTCTCTTTACACCTCTTATACCAACATACAGGGATTCATTATAAGAAGCAATTGTATCAAACAAATAAAGATTATCATGCACTGATAAACAATCAGAACCAATTAGATTTGAATTAAGAAAAATACTAAAATTTTCATTTCTAAATGAACATGAATAACTAAATTTGTCCAATACAAAAATAGAAATTACATTCTGTTTAAACGACGGTACAATAAAAGTCTCTTCTAAATCTAAATAAAATTCAATCCTTAACAACAATCTTAATTTTCTGATT